AATATGTCTCTAATTGCATGATACTATTTTACTTCGTAACTTTTTCCCTTCTTTTAAGTTCACTTTTTACGCAGTTAATACGTTTTTTTTTTAATTTATATAATTATCCTAGAGTAAAAAAATAAAAACATTTATAAGTACTTTTTACACCTGCTACTAAAAAAGAAAAAAAATCGGTTGCCAACGGATAAAATTTACTGAAATACTTTGTCTTTGCCTATTTATACATAGACTATACTTTAAATTAAATTTTGTGAGTGTACACCAGTCTTATGAACAAGTTGGCAAGGGCTAATCAATTAAAACAATATTTGCGCGAGCTGACCGAGCGTTATGGAAGGAATAATATATTGTGGTTGAGCCTCTAAAATAACTCGAGAATTGTGGCCAGTGGATAGTTTCATAATGTACACTGTACATATATACATAAGGATATTCAAGTTATTTTAGTGTGGAAGTTATTCTTAAGTTTTATATATTTCTCAGTGTTAATTTATTGACTTATATATTTACTAGCAGCTCACCCTCGCTCCGCTCGGGTTCGTTCCTAGGAACTAGTTACGTTTTGACGTTTAGTATAGATTTTTCAGAGATGAAATATTTAAATATATAAAAAAAAATTTAAATTATATAAAAATAAGTAAAAAGTATCCTATACGTTGACCCGGATAACCAGCTATGAACATACCAAATTTTATCAAAATCCCTCCAGTGGTTTTTCCATGATGCGGTAACAGATAGACAGACAATAATTCTAAAAACTACAGATTCGGCCTCTGTATCGATAATAATATCTATTTCAATAAGATTTTCCAAAAAACATTTAATGTACAGATTCGGCTTACTTACAATTTTATTATATGTATAGATATGTTGGGACACAAAAGCTTCGCACATCAATATTATCTAGTAGGTACTAATATAAAATAAATAATGTATATTATTTACACAATTGGTTCCCGACGTTCCGATGACGTCGAAAAAATCCGAAAAGATAGTTTTATTTAAACTGAAGGTACGACCGGTAAATAAAAAAAAACTGAATTACTTTACCATACCTATATCTACAGTAAGAAAAGGTAGACACTTATTCCATTGTCCACATTTTCTTTATATTTGTAACGTTTTTTAACATTCAAATTTCGTGCTTGGCATTAACATGATTTATTAATTTATTTTTTACCACATGGTTAATATTTGAAAATTTTAAAAAAAAATATATATCCATTTATTATTGCAATATTTTCTTTATGATGCAAATTCTTATAACTTCGAAGTAAACAATTTTACGTTTGAATATTCATAAAACAGATAGTGTAAGCAATCAAATAACCTAGAAGCATTAATTATTCTCTAAGAAATTCATACGTCAAGTCGCCTTCTTAGCCGCCGGACAGGGGTCAAGATATGGTTGAATTAATATTCATACGAAAGGCCCAGGTGGACGTCACAATCTGAGAAGGGTGGACTTAAGGAATGGACATTGGTTAAAGAGTATGTTGTAGATATGCCAAAAATGTCAAGCTTTATACCTATTTTCATAAGGAGAAATTTTCAAAAGTTCTGAAATTGAAAGATTGATTAAAATTTAAGGCAAATGTATGAAACATATAAACACATCACTTTATAGTGGAAACCATACCCTTATAAAATTTTATACGAATAAAGTGATCGATAAGGAGAAAAGTTTTTTTTTGTTTGTTTGTATGTACCGAATAAGCTCCAAAACTACTTAAGCGATTTAGATTAAATGTAGTAAGAAGATATTTAGAGACCCTGGAAAGGATATAGGATAGATTTTATCCCGAAAATCATCCCTTAAGGGGTTGAAAATGGGAATGAAAATTTGAATGGGGAAGCAACCTAGGGACGAACCCGAGGGAAGCTAGGGAGAGTCACTAGTAAATAATAATATAGAAAGTATTTATGAAGCTCTGCTTACAGACAACTAAAATTAACAAAAAATAAGCTTAATTAAATAAAATAAATGTAGCACAAACATGCGGCTTTAAAAAGGCAATGGTTGAACGTCTATCTCCAACATATTCTATGGCAGGGTGGTTACCCAAGAAGCCGGGGTGGGTCGAATACGGGCCCTTGTCTTATCTGCCCACGCCTGAGGACTCGGCCTGATGGATTAACTTCATTGTTCCACCGTTGCCGAGTGACGCGGAATTTATAATTATGCCCCGCTACATGGTGGCGACTTTACTTTGATTTATGTTAGCATTTTGTAACACTTTTCGTATATATAATATTAAATTTCGAGTTGAAAATTGTTGCTGGAATATTCAGTCCTTATTTGAAGTTAGAAATAGTCGTTTTTAATTGTAGGATTAGTGTTGTATTATATTGTTGTTTTGTAATTTTGATCTTTATTTATTTTTGACCGGTTTTAAAAAACGTTTTAAGAAACTTGATTAAATAATAATCGATTTTCATGTTTTCTTTGTGCGAATATAAATGTAAGTCCTCTAAGGTAATTACATATAGGTAGGTATTTGATGACGGATGTAAATATGAATATTATATTAGTATAATATTAATATTTTTTAAAAAGATTATCTTTATATAATACATATGTACATAATATAGTAACAAATTAAAGTTACATAAGAAAAAGTAACAAAAAATTATATAGTGCATGCTACTGTGTAAATACTGTTAATATTATCTTTATATATATTGTACTTAATCTCTGTGTAAGTGAACAGTGTGTTCTTTAGAGAAATAAATGTCTTTAACCCCATGTAGAGCTCAATAAATAAATAAAAATCTATGTATGTGTGTTTGTGTATTTATATTAATGTTTTTAATTTGTATCTACACCGCACCTCATTTTTTTTCTCTTAAAGAGATAATCATTATACATACATATGATAATCATTTCTACAAATGGGTTCTGTTTTATATGTATTTCTATGCGGTACATAAATAAATAAATATTGATTTCTGAAGATTTTGTTTATTATCCTGTAAATTTTACCTTTTCTTGAAAACTTAACCTTTTAGAATGCTTTCTACCAGTACCGGGACATACGTTACGTTGTGAATTTGGCACATTTTTGTCTTAAATAAACCCTGCTCCCCTGAATGGCATAACATGCAACAGTGTTCAGACATAACATTATTATATACCATAAACTGCCTCGGTGGTGTAGTGGCTAGCATGTACGGCTGCACACCCGGAGGTCCTGGGTTCGAGTCCCGGGTCGGGCCAAGTATAGTTATTGAGTCTTTCTGTATAGTAACCCTCAGTAACAGCCCGGAGTTGGGAAGTTGGCGGTGTTTCACCCCCGTGCCTCGGAGAGTACGTAAAGCCGTCGGTCCTTCGCCTTAACTCTCACTGGTCGTGTCAAGTGGTCATCCCACCGGAGTATGAGAGTGACAGGAATAGAGAGTGCACTTGTGTCTGCGCGTACACTTGTGCACTATAATATCTCCTGCGCAGTTGGCCAATCACAATGAGATTGGCCGCCGTGGCCGGAACCGGTCAGGAGAACATCATATACCACAAAGGTACAAAGTGATTTAATTAGCAAGTAAGTATTTGACCTTAGTAGCCTGGGGTCTAAGAGAAAACATCATTATTCAATCTTTACAAAATTTAAATCTAAAAAAAGGAATAACATATTATGATACTATGATATAACGATTAGACTTCTCATGATTGTAGAATGATATCTAAAAGCTCTAAAATTGCAATCTATTCTTCAAAATATCGAGTATAAAATTCGATAAAGTTATATAGTATGTGTAGTGTATCAACTACCTGGTATCCACAACACAGGCGTCGTAGCTCACCATGGAACTAGATGGTGCTATGTGTTAATGTCCTAACATATTTATTTATTTATTCTTAATTAGTAATAATAATGATCATCATCATTATTAGATAAAATTGGTGATAAATACAGACACAAATAATAGCTCTAACTTATTAAAATTTCCTTTACGCCCTATCTTATACCAATTGAAAACGTATATAATAATAATCCAAAGCAAAACACATCCTTTTAAAAGCAAAAGAAAACGATTTAAATAGCACTTTTAATAATTACAAGTTCTTCTATAAACAAAAGCTATTGTCATTTGCTGTATTGTCTTAAGTTTTCGCGGCTGTTACACGTAAATAAAACTATCTTACCGGAATCGACTGTGACTCGTGAGTAGACTGTCTTTGAATTGGCTACTGTATAAAATATTAGCTTATGATCTTTGTTGGAATAAGCGTACAATATTATTGTAAATCTTACCTTCGCCCGTACATCTGTGATTCTCGGGAATCACACTAATATTATACCTAAACGAGAATGTATGTACGTATATGTCTGTGTGTTTGTTTGTTTTTCTTCACACTAGAATTGATGGATAGATTTATTTATGATATTTAGTATACTCTATAACCTGAAGTATAAGTAGAAGTATAAGTATTTACGCTACTGTTAGTAACAAAATCCAAAACTTGGCATTGCCTGTATATATTATTATAATTGGACTCAGTTTTGCAAAAAACAGCCATGTGCGTAAAAGTACCAGCAGAGTTATAAGCATTTTATTATAAAAAATTAAATAATTATAAAAAATAAACAATACTTATATTGTTCAATTTTAAAATAACCAGAAAAACAAAACATAACCCAAGTGCAACTATCGACAGAAAAATGCTTATAACTCTGTTGGTACTTTTACGCACATGGCTGTTTTTTTGCATAACTGGGTCCAATTACAAAAGGCATCTAAGGTTTAGGCGAGCAAGCAAAGCGAGGGCAAGTCACTAGCTCAGAGTATAATTCTATATAATATGGCTACGTATCACATACATATTTGTGTAATACTTAATCCAGCTAAAGATCAAAAAGTGAAGAAACTAAATAGAGAGGAATGGATATAGCGTTCACTGGTCTTTCTAGTGAAATGCCTGTAAGCCCTGAAAGTAATGAAGGTCAAATTAATGGGCTGTATTATTATATTTCGAAATTCCTTCGTTAATTTCTAAAATGTCGTTCACACTAATCCTTAAGAACTGCTTGGGGCGAACAATAGTTCCAATATTTGTCCCAGATACTGACCACCTGAAGTACGTCTTGGAGGGGTCGAACCCTTATCAAACTAAATTAACTGTTCTAAACATCTTGACCAAGTTATTGTTAGAAAATCATCGGGGCGTGCCGAATCTGAAAAACAAACGGACGTATGCAAATAGTATCTAATCTAATTAGAGGGAGTTTTGTACAATTAGGATGGAACGTGAGTGTAGGGTGTATATTTTGGCTAACTTATATGTTTAAATTTTCTACTAGGTTATTACCTAATCTTCATATTATAGTTTATTACGAAAAAGCTTTTGATAATGACCGCTAGTATTACTGTGATAAAGAAAAAGCCTAAAAAGTCCGGTTTGGTTTCTTAGTAGCATTGAGCGTAATGTTATATTGTTTCTTATTTCTTCACATTCTTAATTATCAGTCAAAACCAAAAACAAATAAGCAATTGCTTGTCGTAAAATCGCGAAGTCACTGCACTTTTCCAGAGCATCTACAATTTCCCGGTAAAGGGCAAGTCATTCTTACCACATATGTCGAGGAAAATAGACCCTTAAGTATTCCGGAATAGGGATGCCGCTGTAAATATTCGTAGTTTTGACATAGGGGTGGTTATTTCGCAGAACATTCATAAATATTTACTTTTAGCTCGCTTTTATAAGATCCACTTGTTATCTATATATTTTTAGCGCTATAACTTATCTGTTATTCCAGTAATTGTTTCAAATTCGACGTATATACGTGCTGTTTGTGGCGTGATGGTGTATAACACACCCTACTACCGAGTTATGGGCTGCTAGTGAGAATGTCTTGTTAGAGATATTTTAACTGTTCATGGACCAACCCAAGATTTCAACCAAGGACCTCAAAACCTAAGAGTTTGCCTAGTTTGTCTAGATTACTCTAACTAGAAGTTAGGCATATGTTAGTTATAATTTATGACATCCCAAACATCTTGCGAATCCAAATTTTGGTCAATATACAATCCACAATTTTGAATTTGTAACATTACCTACAACCACAAAAGTGGATAAAGAAAAGTAGTTGTTTTAAATAAAATTATTTGTTATTTTATATAAAGTTACTATTACATTTAATAAAAGCTTGGTCAAATTTCTGCCCTTGTATTGCCAACGAAAGGGTAGGGTGTGCTGTGGCATAAATGATCACCGGGCAACATTGACGAAGACAAATGGTTGTCGATGTCGAACTTACATAGAGATAAGGTAGGCTCCTCAAATTGGCCGCGTTTTACTTACAGTTCACTGTTTCATTCCTTCAACATGTATTGGTAAGATTAGGGATAAGTTCGGTTTGGAAAATTGAGTACTTCGTAAGCACTTTCTGTTAAAGCTGTTAGTTAACTTTCTAATTCCTAATTTAACATTTAAATTTTATCTTAAATTAAAACGAAATTTGTTGTTTTTTAAATTATGTTTTATTATTTTTGATGCTATTATTTTTGTATTACATTAAAATATAAGTGATTTCATATGATAATGTGTATTTACTAAGCAAAATAAAAAAAAACCTATTTTCTGATTTCATTCTTTATTTTTAATAGGTTTAAACTTGGCCTTTTACTGTTGCTGTGACTACGCAGTTAAAATCAATTTAATATTTTCTATATACTTTGTCACGAAATTATAGGCAGAATGAACTAAACTAGTTATATAATTTCTATACGACAGTTCTTTGTTCCATCTAATCTTTAGTGACCTTTTTATTCTAATGCTTAAAGTCTTAATTCATCGTCTTACGTAATAGGCCAATATATTTCTATTTCCGCGAGCAAAAAAAAAGCTGAAACAAATAATGAGTCAGTATTTAAACGGAAATTCGACCAATCTCGTGCAATAAAATCGACACTGTCGTAGAACAAAGTCGGATATGATATTACATCGAAATTGATTTTTTTACACAATTAGCTTTAATTAATAATAAACTATTGATATATTCAAGAAAAATTTAAATATTCTTAGTACTTTCGGAAATATTCAATTGAACAAAGTATTATTTCAAAATTGTTCCCATGAAAATCGTCGCGAGTTCAATAGCGCCACTGTCGCTCGGTTGTCATCGCTCCGCATGCACCGTGCCCTGCGCGGTGATCGTCGCTAGCGGTGATGTTCGACGGAAAGCCGGTCATATTTAACAACAACACATGATAGATTCTACATTAGCGTATTATTACAATATTTTTAAAGTTTTTAACACAAAAACAGCCTAAAATGTCTCAATCATAAAAAATATTAATGTTAGTGATAGATAATGAAGAATAAAGTGACTATTTCGCCAGGCAGGACTTCAGCATTTTAAGTAATTCAATCGAAAATACGAACAACGAAGGTAAGCCATTTTTATAAATATTTACTTTTATGTATATAAGTGCCTTTTATTATTTTTTTCATACTAAAAAACGATTGGCTAACATTTTATATAGAATTATTCAAAATCCATGTCATAACTTAACAACCGACGTTGTTCTACGGAGATGAAAAAAAATTAAATTTATTTAATAAAAATATATTTTGATGATGTTTTCTTTATGTACTATATTTATATTCTTTAATTACTTATGTTATGGTATTGGATATTTTTGACATCGTATGTTTCCTACTTTCGTTTTTCTCCCAAACTCATTTCAATTATACAGATTGTTTGAATACTTACGGCGTTGTTCTTCGGAAATCATACACATTTTTGATGTAGCGTATTGAGAAGTAACTATGTTCTTCGGCATAAAATTATATAGGATTTTGTTCAGCATGTTTGAATGCTAATAATAGATATATAAATGACTAGATCTTTTTATTTGAGAATTTTTTGTCTTATTTAGACATATCTTTAAATATTTTACTATATTGCAGGTCTTGGAGTTGAAAAACCAGAATCACCTTTACCCCCTGGAGCGGAAATCATAGTCAACCAATTAAGGGAAATAGCGCAGAAAGTATTTGCAGATGGCGATGAAGATCGAAATTTAGTTAAAGAATTGACACCATTTGGTATAGAAGATACCAACGCCAGTTTTGAGGCTTCTCCTCCTGTGGTCATCAAAGAATTTGAAAACCTACACCTACATCACCCTTAATCATTCTTACTCCCATGCCATTACCGACTAATACTCACAAGACATGTAATGACTTATTTTCTGCTTTATACGATCACTGGATAGTCCAGTACCATCTTCAGTAGTACCTAGTACGTAGTAGCCCTAGTAAGTGGACTAAGTTCTTTTTCTGAATTAGATACCAATTCAGTACTGTCTCCAGGACGAAAAAAAAACAAATAAAAATAGAGAATCATGGTCCGATGTAAAAAGGAAAAGCTTAACGAATTCAGTTAAAAATATGTGTCAAAGAGGGGTAAGGTTCTTGATGAAAAAGGTTATGGGTATGCGTTATAAATGTAGTGAGAAAATTACTAATGAACAAAGAATACATTGTTTAAAAAGGTTTTGGAGTCTCGGTAACAAAGAGAAACAGTGGGGATTTGTGGTTAAATTTTGTTTAGAAGTAAAGAAGCATCGATGCTTTATCACAGATCGACCTAATTTACGTAAATTTACTTACAAGTACAACTTGCCAATAGCTTTTTCTTCTGAAAGCGAAAAAAAGTGTCTATGATCACGTCAATTCTTTTATCTCATGACGTTAGGAAGATCAAGCTATACTTAGAAGGTAATCGTAGTTTTGGGTGTATGTTTCTATTATACAAAGAATGTTTTAATCCTACAAAATATGTTAAGAGGGCTTCAACCGAACGTCAATATAGAAGTATTGTTTCCAAACACTTTAATTAAGATTTCATGGAAATTCTATGGAATCAGATAAAGGAAGTCCATGTCAAAAAAAAAAGATCCCACTTAATTATAATATTATTTATATGATCTCAATGAAAGTGGTTATAATATGTCTAGTCATTGGATCTAGAACCAAAAACTCATCATCAGCTCTACCTAATTTAAATCCTATTTCTAACAGCTTGTATAAAATATCGAAAGATAAATATAATGATCTTGTTCACATGTGCAAAACCGGTGTAATCATTTCTGAACATAGCATTTATTTCAAATCCCTACCATTTGATGATGAGTGATTTTTTTTCATTATTTTGTTAATTAATAAATTAATCTATCGAAATAAAAAGAAATGTCATTAGACATTTCATTTTATTTGATAGTTTTGTCTATGAAAATACATTATTTTAAAACTAAATATTTATGTGGGATTTAAACAAATCTGGGACAATTTTGAAGAGAAGTATTTTTTGTTATTACTAGTTCTTGAAATATTTATTTTATTTTTTATTGTAAAGTGAATATTAAGTACCTGCTCAATCATATTCCTAGTATAAACATTAAGTTACATTTAATATTTATCTAATAAATTATATATGGCTAAAGACCTACTCATATCTGCCGTTGATATAGATATTTAAAATGTTATTATTTCTGAGAACTCATATTTGTTAAAGAGTTTTAGATTTTTAGTATTTTGAAATTTTGTGATTTGACTGATTTATTTTGTTACCGATTGAGACTGATCAGAAACGAGTCGCACAATTAATATTAAGAGTTTAATTACCAAATGGCAACATTTTTTAATTAGATTTATTCCTTGCTTGTGCAATTTTCAAATTGTATTTTGGATAAAAAATAATCGTTGTTTATATTTTTTATTTCTTTACTTATATAGATATACCTTGTGTATAAGCAATTAAAAGTTTTTTTTAGAACCTACGTAATTTTTAATTTATCTAGAATAACATACGACATCAATATCCCTTTTGTAATTCCACAGAACAGCATGACATGTATATATACGTAGTACAACTTTCCATCGAACAAATTTGGAAAGTCACAACATACGTCCTAAGTTACGTAATATAACGTCGGATTATAATATACAAACACATTTTTTTTTATTTTATAAATAAAATGTTATTATTATTATCTAGTAATAACTCTTAATAAAAGACAAAAAGCTATTTCTAATTTTTTTTTTCAATTAATTAAATGGGAGAAAAGTTATGGTAAAAAATGTGACTTCAAAACTTTAAACGGCTCTCCTGTAAAGTAGCTATTTTGTAGATCCGATTTTGTTCTACGACAGTGTCGAAATATAATATGTAAATCAAAATCATAATGTGTATAAAAATCATTTTAAAAGAGATTGCAATAAAATTTGCAATAACTGCATTTTTTAAAGATTTATGGATAACTAGCAGAACTCGCGGCTTCGCTCGCGCTTAAACTACAAAAAATCTCTAAAAAGGTAGTTAGGTACCTAAGTTTCATACAAACTTTCATCCCTTATTTCCACCCATTATAAGATGAATTTCGAAAAATGCTAAGACACGTACTTATATATTTGTATTGAAGAGCATTAATAACAAGTTTCAAGTAATTCTGATCAGAAATAAATTTTTAGATTGTATTATAACGTGTTTTCCCGTGGGAATTAGATGATCTCCCGCGATAAAAAATAGCCTGTCACTCTCCAGCTCTTTAACTATCTTCACACCATAATCACGCCAATCCGTCACTCCGTTTCGACGTGAAAGAAAGACAAACAAACGCACAAACAAACAAATACACTTTCACATTTATAATATTAGTACGGATATTTATATATTAATATGGATAGCTAGCAACCACTTGGGGAGTACAATGTAAAGGTACTAAACGGCAACTCTGTTTTGTAACTTTTTTGGACCAAAACAATCCAATACACCTTAATTTTGGGTAAAACAAAATGTTTCGCATTTTAATATTGAAAGAAACGTGTTTATTTTCAAGTGATCTTTTATTTTGTGGTAAAAAGTTGATGTTTCAACCATTGTTTTTAGTTTTGATGCGAATATTCGAATGGATGGACGAAATTTTACAGACAATGCTTAAAATGATATCTATCTTTCCAGGCATATATTTCTTTATTTTTACAAGCTTATAACAACGGGATTATTTTAAAAATCATAACTATCTGCGAAAATTTCAAACTGTTGAAAATTTTTTATCTCTCAATACTTTCTTGCGCTAAAAATAACAAACACTAATATAGATATTTAATACTTATACATACTTTCTCGTTGTATGATTTTTTCTTGCAACAACAACAGTACAGAACAACAACTGCCTGTTTTATCTTTTATTTAAAACTTCTTACCACTGCGAGTTTATAAATCTGTAAAAATTACAAGACTTTTAGTACAAATTGGTATTGGTCAAAAATATAAATTGTTTTCATAGTTTAAAAATATATAACATTAACATAACAGTGTCCGGCTTATTGCTTTTAAACCAAAACTAGCATGTTCCAGTCCGTGTAATAAAAAAAAAAAACTTTTTTAAATCAGACGGTTTCTTTGTTTAGTTGCTCTTAAATAAAAATCTGATTAGCGTTTTTAAGCAAACAAAATATAGAACTAACAAACTCTTTAGCTTTATTATGTTAATATAGATAAACCGTTACAATTTTTTCGATATATTCATGACCATCCTTATATATGTACCTACACATGAGCCGGCGCAAACATCTGTAGGGCCTATTTACTTATTTTTTGAGCTTCACCATATATTTTTTTAAATTAACTATCACAAATATTTTTTCCACCAGTAAAAACAAAAGACGTCACACTTCTTTTATTAATTTTTCACCTAAATATTATTTAATTTATAAGCGAAAAAACTAAATATATATTAATTATTAAGGTCACTGAAGACCAAAAGAAACATAGGTATACCTATATACATATGTACGTCCAGCAAAGCTAAGCTGACGGCTAGTCTATAATATATGTATAATATATGTAATAATACCCTTAAATGATATTAAAAACTTTATTATTTCCTTAAAATAAATAAATAAATATGATGGGACATTAACCCACAGTACCATCTAGTGCCATGATAAGCTACGAGGCTTGTGTTATGGATACCAGATAGTTGATACACTACACATAATATATAACTTAAAATATGTACATATTATAAATATAAACAATTAAACACCCATGACTGGAGTACAAATATTTGTGCTCATCACACAAATGAATACCCCCAGCGGGATTTGAACTGCTGGCACAATAAATTACATTCAATAGTCAATTGGACCAATGGGCCAAGTCCACTTTCAACAAAGCACTATCTACAATCTAAGCGATTTCCATATGATATTTGAGTACACGGAAATGTGAACCTACTTGTTACACTACTTCCTTAGGTTAGCAATTAAGTGCAAGATGTTCTGATAACCTGTACCACTGGCCTAGCATTTACTAAAGGTGTATTGAAGTTTGGTTTCATCGCGATACTTACAGACTTGTTAATTGTATGTATGTTTAGATTTTCCTTTTAGTGCATACGGCTACTGTGCTACGGTTATTTTGTTTTGTTAAACTCATTTTATTTAATACTTTCTTAGAATTACGCGAACATCTGACATTTTTATATAAAACTATCTTTTCGAACTTTTTTGTGGATTTATTTTGATTTGTGGACGTTTCAAATGCTTTACAGCAATCATGGTCTATTTGGAAATGTACATATGGATGTCATTTTATTTTATAGCACTATATTAAAGTACTAGCGACTCACCCTCGTTTCGCTCGGGTTCGTCCCTTGATTCCCCATACAAACTTTCGTCGCCTTTTTCACCCCCTTAAGGGATGATTTCTGGGATAAAAAGTAATCTATATCCTTCCCCGTGTCTCAAACTATCTTCTTACAAAATTTCATCTAAATCAGTTCAGTAAATTCAGACATTACCCCCTACAACGTCACAAGCTCACAATTCACAAACTTTACCTTTTTATAATATTAATATAAATTAATAATTAATATTTTTGTTCTGGCAGCATAATCTTGCTTTGCTCGTCATAATCATAACAAACACACACGCATACACACTTTTACTTATATATTATTATTAGTCAAGTATTATCTAAAAAAAAAACTCTCAGATTCTTTCAATCATTGCTATTATGCTATAAACTTGGTCTTCTAAGTGTTATGTAATAGTTTCTATCAATAGTGTGTTTATATAATATCAACCTTTAATTTAGTATTTGCCAACTGAGTATTTCGCT